ATTATCATCATCAAAATACATTTCTCTACCACCATCATAACCAAAATGTTCTTCTCCTATGCCATCACCATCATCGTCACGAACTTCTCTTATTTTACCATCTCCACCAACAGATTTTTCTCCTGTACTATTATCTCCTCCAACCACATAGCTATCTCCAATTTGTGGGGTTTCCAAACTACCCTTATCTTAAGGGCACATTTGGTCACCACCAAAATGTCGTAAGACTGTCACTCCATCCAACTCTATTCTTAGGGTTATCCATCTTCATGTCCTCTTTGCCGGATAAGATAACAAGATTTTGGATGTAAACCTCTTCTTTTCAGCCTTTGTAAGGTAAAGAAAAGGGTGCACCATCTGGGAAAGGAACATAACGATTTATAAGCAAAGATATTAGAATCATGCTTGAAACATCTTATAGATATTTAAACACTTTCTTCAGCATGTTTCAAACATCCACTAGAATGAGCCTTACCGGATCATCTTTGATTTGAAATGGATCAGGCATGTCCTTTTATACTTTCTCAAACAACCACATCTTCATCCTCGACCATATCCTCACTTTTGGATAATCTTTTGGCCACAATTAAGGTATGGCTTCAAATGCCCAAGCTTACATTGTGCGATCAAAAAGTAAATAGAAAATTATATTAATAACATAAAAATAGAAATAATGGATAAGATTTCTTTAGTTACAGTGAAAGCCTAGGTGGTGCTCCATTTTCTTCACCCTACAAAGGCTAAAAAAAGGAGGCTTACATCCAAAATCTTGTTACTTTACCGGATAAAGAGGACAAGATGATGGATAGCTAAGTAAAGAGTTGGAGGGAGTGATAGTCTTAAGATATTTGGGCGGTGGCAAAATGTGCCCTTAAGATAAAGAACGGTAGTTTTCAAACCCCACAAATTGGAGATATCTATATGATTGGAGGAGATGATGGTACAAGAGAAAAATTTGTTGGTGGAGATGGTAGAATAGGAAAGAAGCTGTTTGTCATGATAATGGTGATGACATAGGAGAAAAACAATTTGGTCATGATGATGGCAGAGAAATGCATTTTGATGATGATAATGGCAGGGGGAGATTTTAGTTACGAAAATGAAAGAAGAGCTACTTCTATTGGAAAAAAGGGTGAGGAAATAAAAGATCGTGTTTTTTGCAAGTACATCTAATGTCCATTGTCCCTGCATATGCCCTAATTGCCTGGAAAAAGAAAAAGAGCACGGGAGGAATGCTATGCAAGATCAATTGAAAAAGCAAATGGATATGATAAAATTTATGCAAAAGACCATAGATGAATGTTCACCAACTATCGAAGAGACTTGTGGTTCTTTTCCCGAGCAATTCGGGATCCTTACACTAAAGGAAAAAAAAGGAACAAAAAGAGAAAGATAACGGGAAATGATGCGAAAAAGAGCCAAGAACAAAAAACCTCCACAGAAGTCATGAGGAGAGGCTGAAATTTGATATTTATAAATTTCAGCCCTCATGGCATTTATCAGAAATGAGGGGCCTCAGACACAATTTACATGGGCAATGTTCGATCATGAAAACTTCAAGAGCATCCAAGATCCTCAATTCTGGTTGGAGGATAAGGTACATATTCATAAACCTTTCATCTTGATTTATTTTTACTTTCCAGTTTCAAACATCTTATTAAAACATCCTTTTGGATTGACACATCCTCTAAGATGTTTGAAACATCCCTATGGATCTGTGACTGATCTTGTTTATTTTTACTTCCAGTTTCCTGCAGCATAATGATGTTTAATACTAGTATATGTGGATTAATGATTTATTTATCTTGATAATGCAACATATGGAGGATTTCTTGGCCCTTATGCGTATTAGACATAGAAGGTACCCCAAGCACTACGATCAAGCAAATATCATCATGGATCGTAATTTTCTTTATATCTTGAAATAACGCTATAATACTCTATGTGATATGGTGGACAAGGTGAATGCTGCTCTATCTCTGCCCATGATCTTGACTGAGTACCAATTTCAAAAGGATGATCTAAAGTATGCCCGAAGAGAGATGTCTCTTTGTGGTTGTCGACCGTGGGATGGTGCAAAGAGGATCTTCAGTGTATACAACATTGAGAGGAATCATTATGTCACAAGAGTATTTCTTATTGAGGAGTCCAAGATGTTTGTTTATGACTGCAATACCTCTGTGTACACCGATAATAAGTTGGGTAAATTTTTATATCTCATCGACACAATGTTTCCAAGATACCTCTGATCCTGTGGCCTTTTCATGCATTTGTGCCCTTTTCTTGCACTTGCCTAAAAAATCCCTAAATGATGATTGGCTACCTCAAAGGCTCTTTGATCTTACCACGGGATGACACCTATAAAGTTGTGGAGCATGGTCATTAATGTTCATTGAACACCTCATCACTAACACTCCGATGGACAAGTTGAATGGCAATATTATTAGCGAGTCCAAGGGAGAAAATGGCTATGAACATCTTTCACAAGAACATGAAACCATGATATGCATTGTAATTGATGGATATTTTTATGCTTCTTTGGATGGTAGGAACTAAGTTGCTCCGACACGGGTGCGGGTGTCCAACACGGGTGCGGGGATCCGGCTAAAAATAATTCAAAAAACTAAAAATATAAAAATATCTCTAAATTATGAGAAATTTTGAGGAATACTTACCTATAACTTGTGAAGTCTGGATTTCTATTTCTCAAGTTGTAGACATGATTTCTAGATTTTTGTCCATTCTTGGATTCTCCTGCAAGCAAACTTTTTATATAGTTATCTTCCATTTACAATCAAATATTAATTTTTATAATTTAGATTAGATCTCTAATTATTATTATAAAAATCAGACTTAAGTGTGTCAAACTTTCACCACAAAGAGTACAATATTATTAATTAATAATATTCAAATAAAGTTAAAGGTCTTTCACTTCCCCAAATTGTTGAATGCTCCGGCTTCCTCAATCTCAATTGCTACTCTTTTTGCTCAATCAAGATGAGAAGCAGAAAGTAAAGGATTGATTTCCTAGATAGGGTATGCCATTTTTTCCAAATTTACCCTAGTTTTGATTCTGATTTCGGGAATCAAATTGTATGTTGTCTCGAATTTGCCGTCGTGGTCAAAGTACCCAAAATCATTTGACTAGATCCGGTACGGAATCTACGGATCTCACGCCCACACCCACACCAATGTCGTGTCAGCACGGGTGTGTGGCACCTAAAATGCCATGTCGGAGCAACTTAGGGTATGAATGGATGATTTGCTAATTTTTTTTGTTCAAATTTACTTTTATGGATATTATTTGTTTTTTGGATAATTTGAATGGGCATGCTACTTTTTTAACTAAATCTGTCAAACATCCTGGTAACAGTTTGAAACATCTCTCAATAGATGTTTGACCCTAATCCTGAACATCAAACATCTCAAAGGATGTTTGAAGCATCTCAAAGGATGTTTGAAGCATGTATCACAACGTTTACTCACAATACTAATTTATTGATTCTACGGCTGACTGAACATTAATCCATGGGTCAAAAATATTAACATATTGAATACTTTGAATAATTGATCATTAACATATTGATTCTACGAATAATTAACCACCAACCTATTGATTCTCTGTATGATTAAACATTAACATATTGATTCTACAAATACTCAAACATTAACCTATTGACTCTAGGAATACTTGATCGTAAGCATATTGAATACTTATCAGTAGTGACGAATAGACTAAATATCTCCCTTGAAGTAATGCACAAGCCAACTTAACATATCACGTTCAAGTGCTTCTCAATGGCAGTGTTATAAATAGCGCTCGCCTCGGCGCTAATAGCATGAGGCGAGGCGAGGCGAGCAGCCTGCGCTATTTTGGCTCTGTTGCGTTGCGATTGTAAAAGGCGAGCGCCTCTATTTGTGTAGCGACAGGTGAGCTGTGGCGTCGCTTTTTGAAGAAAAAAAAGAAAGAAAAAGGCGCAGATTAGGGCTTAAAACATTAGGGCTTGCAGTGATTTCACGTTTCTTTTTTCTTCAACCTTCAAACAACAGAGCACTCAAGTCCACCTAGCCCAGGTAAACTTCTCTTCTTTCTCCTCTCTTTCTTTCTTCCTTTTCCTTCTTCTTCTCTTCTTCTTTCTATTTTTTTGCTTTGTTTTTTGTCAAGCAACAGTGCAGAACAGAGAGTCTGTCTGTTGCTCTATTTTTTTTTTCGTTTTTCTTTTCTTCTGATCTTCTCTTCTTCTTTCTATTTTTTTTGCTCCGAAAAAGGGTTAAAAAGCCCCTAAATTATCGAAAAAGGTTTAAAAATACCCTTCATCCACCTATTGGGCTAAAAATACCCCTCCATCCACCTTTTTGGTTTACTTATGCCCTTTGACCGTTAGGTCAATGCTGAATTAAAAATAATAATTACTTAAATTCCACGTGGCAACTTCTTATTGGCCAAAATTAAATATCTAATCAATTAGAAAGACCACCCATATCTAACCAGTTTTTCGTACTAACAGGCTACAAACATTAACCCGACCAAAAAATTTAACCTAAAAAAGAGGCCTCACTTCTATCAAACTCCAAGGAACAAACGCTCCATGGAAGTTGCAGCGAACATATAGACGCAAATTTACTACGTGATTTTCTTTTTCTTTGTTATGGCAAGTTCAATTTACATGGTAGACACAAATTGCATTATATTCAAGATGAGTTTAATTTAATCATTGTCACATAGAGGAAAGATCTCAATTTGATGGTTTGGAAGATATCATAAACCGTTGGACTGCCCCTCATTTTTCGTCCCACATTATTGTCAAGAAAATTATTGGCTCATTCATGCTAAGGTTTTATTGTTTGTTTAATTTGTTCCTGAACTTTTATTTGATGATAATGCTTTACACGAGATTAATCAAGAAAATGAACACATGTAAATCCATGGTTAGATGAAAGTATGGTGTCTTTTTTTTATTTGAACTTTTTATTCGGGATAGTGTTTGGGACGGGTTAGTCAAAAAAACGGCTAGATATGAGTGGGTCTTTCTAATAGGTTCGATGCTTTAATTTCGACCACTAAGAAGTTGCCATGTGGAATTTAAATAATTATTTTTAAAATTAAGCATTAACCTATCAGTCAAAGGGCGTAAGTGAACCAAAAAGGTGGATGAAGGGGTATTTTTAGCCCAATAGGTGGATGGAGGGTATTTTTAGACCTTTTTCAATAGTTTAGGGGCATCTTTAACCCTTCTCCGTTTTTTGCTCTATTTTTTGTCGAGCAACAGTGCAGCAAAAAAAGGACAGAGAGTCCGTTTATGCTCTGTTTTTTTTTTTCGTTCTTCTTCTTTCTTCTTCTGACTTCTCTTCTTTTTTTTTTTGGTTGCTCTGTTTTTTATTGAGTAGCAGTACTGCACCCTGTTTTTGCAGAGGCAGAGAACTTCTTCAAAACTTCAAACCTGAAATTTCCTCCTTTTTCAGTTATAGAGTAAAACTAATTGCATATTGTGAATTGATATATTTATTAATATATTATCGTTATTGAGTTTTTAGTTATATATATATTATTTTATTTTTTTGTATAAATTGTCGATTCACATCAAAAAGGCGAGCGCTTCGCTGCGCGCCTCTCGCCTCAGTGAAGCGGGCCCTCGTCGCTATTTGTCGTCGCACGCTATCCAAAACATTGCTCAATGGTGCAAGGGAAATGGGGGCTAGGAGCGGGAATGGGTGCTGGGGAGGGTTTCCCATTTTTTTAGAGGGGGTGGGGCCCGTTAAAGGCCTTTGTGATAATTCTAAAACTTTGAGGTTCTTTTTAAACCTACTTTTAAATAATAAACAATAACATGAAAGTGTCTTTCTCACACCAATCTAACACTTTACTCTTAAACATTGATATAAGCTTTCAAACAAAAATTTAGAACCGCCAAGATACATTTACTAAAACAAATTGCAAAAATAAAATTTTAATCTTTTTTTTCCTTCACGCTCTTTAAGAAAGAGATATACGCTCTCTACGCCAGTTGGCCAAGAAAAGGGTAATAAACCACTTAGAAGTTTTTTTTTATTTTGGGGGGAAGGAGGGTTGAGGGTGGGGTACTAAGAAACCCCCCCCCCCCCCAAAAAAACTTGGTCGTAATTGAAAATCATGAACAAATTTGAGGTGGTCCTCATGAATTACAAATATTTTTCTTTTAAGGTTTTTGTATCCTTCAGTTTGACTCTTCTCGAACAACAAGTTGAGACCAGGTTTGCATGCTTTCATGAAACAAATTTTCCAGTGTTCAAGGAGAGCTAAGAAAATGAACAAGTGCTGGACTATCGTTCAGTTTTAGACTTTTAGTGATGAAAGACATCCTAGGATGTTGAGTACACATCTTTTATAGTCATGGCTATGTGAGCCAATGAATAGCACCTTTATTTTTCTATATCAAACTTTCAACTGTAAATGGAAAAGAGAATAGAGAATACTTTCATACGAAAGAGTCTTGGGTGACAATTGACACACATAAAAAACAATGATGTATTTCTAGTTGTCGAGGAAAATAAACGCCTTTATCACTTGAATGATGGTCTTGCAATATCTTCCTAGGATAAGCTTATATCACCCAACAAACTCAAGCATGGTAAACATGAAGCAGAATAATTCCCAGAAATTGAGAGAAAATCCAAGACAATAGTCAAATGATGGATTAAGGAATACCTATCCAAAATAATAACAATAGAATTATAGGATGAGTTGGAGAATAGCCTAACCAGCATTCTCAAGTGTCACGAAGGCCCCGGACACGATTTTGAATCAGTTTCCTTTCCCAATCTGCTACATCTGCAAAGGCATAATCTGGCAGATTCTCAAACGGCTCCTTCCACTGATCATTTTTAGCCATATCATAAGCAGCTGCTCGTATCGACCTTTTGTTGGGCCCACAGGGTCTCTTTGATGTGAGTGTATCATAGGCGGTATTTAGCTGCTCAACAAGCACTTCAAGATATCAGGACATAGTGCTATTAAGAGTTGCTAATGCGCTTTAATTAACAGACAAAGGATAGTAGGAATATTGATTCACAAATAATGTTTCTGAATTTGGAAAAAATTTAATGTTCATATAAAAGGTGAAATCTTACATCCATTCCACAGAACCAGAACATATAAGCAATTGAAACAGCAGGAGCCCTTCCCAATCCAGCAGTGCAATGTACGTACACTCTTCCTTTTCCTTCTGAAATAGCCCACTCTAGCGATGAAACAGCTTTAGGTAATACACCCCTTAAGGAATCTGGATCAAAATCTTTTGCCTGCAATTAAAGTTTTGTGATGATAAAAACACACAAAATGAGTGGGGTGTCTTGGAAAAAATAATATTGCAAAACCTAAGAACATTTTATTTTCTTAGGCTAAAAACCTGGAAAAACAAAGAAGTATTTTGAACTCCAGAATTCTTAATGGAAAGAAAAGAAAAACAACCAAATGGTGCCCTTCTTCTATCACATGTCTATAAACTTTATCCACTACGCCGAAAACGTCAAAGCCTAGTTATTTTCTATAACCAGGAATTTTTGGATATGGAGCCAGAGCATTACATGTACACTATAAAACAAGTCTGCAAAATTCTGAAATACGGACAGTCACTGATTTCCTGAATCAGTTATCATTGCTAGGGAAATATAATGCATACCTTACATATTTGATGTTAGCGCTTCATCTATTGACCATAACAACGGCCAAGATAGTGAAGCATAGGATTAACAAAAAGTAAACTAGCTCAATTCACATCAAAGTAGAAATGGTAAGTATCACCCCC